TACTACGTAGAGTTCACTAAAATTGATTACAACATAGAATAGAGGATACTTTTCTAAAGTCTGAGTTTAGCAAAAATAACACGATTATTTGAGAACAATATGTGAATATTTCGAAAGACCAATCTCGAGCGCCCGCTGGTTTTTCATTACAAATTAACCGGTTATTGTCCGCAGGAGCTTCACCGTGGCATAATAAAGGGCATTGCGATTGCCCTCGCGGAGAAACCGCGAGGGTCTTAACTGAGAAACTCATTTTCAAGGAAGAAGCCGCGTGCGCGCGTCTTTTTCCCATTGAATATCCAAAAGTATTTTCATATTCACGCGCAAGAAGTTTCCCTGACAAAGTTTAACGATTTCGAACGAATGCACGGGAGAGAGAGGGGGGGGGGGACGGACGAACGAGCGAGCGAACAGACGAACGAACGAGCGAGCGATTCCAGGACGGCCAGGCAGATCTTTAGGAAAACTCGCGGTAGTTACGACAGTTTGTTGGCGAGTAACTTTGCTACTAATATCGACAAGGTTGTGTCCGGGCGAGTTGGCAACTTTAGTGTAACTTTCCGTCCGTCCGCCCACACACTTGTTGCCCCCTCGTCCTTCCCTTTCTCCCTTCTCTCCTGCATTTCTCCGCAGACCCTCTTGTGTGCGCGAGGAGCCGCGGCGAACTATCATTAGCACGACATAATGCAGATACGTGGTTGCATGGCGCTCGCCTTTTGTGTTGTCTCTCACTCTTGCTGAGCACGCATTCAGTTTCGCCGATTCTCAGAGGAGAACATGATCGCCCGTTTCACCGTCACAAAGTACTAATACAAAGTAGTAATACGACTCCCCGCTGTGGCTAATGCAACTGGTGAATAACCGCCGGTCGGTCAGCAACCGCGTATTCTGGAGAATTCCTGGCTCATTTCCGGGCTCATATTAAACAACATCGACTCACATCATAAAACACTTCCTTTCGTTCTTTTCCTTTTCATTTATTTTCGTACATGAAATTTATAATAAAGCCTGATCCTCTCAAGCAGCTTGTCTCGAGTTTATTTCTTTTCGCAAATATTTGAGAACAAATATTTGCTACTATTATTGGAAATTCTTTTATACCCTAATACTATCGTGTTACTTTTAAAAATAACTATGTAATGTACATATATTATTTATATCGTATTTATTCACAATTCTTTATTACTAAAAAATATTATTTTTTCAGTTAGAGCTTAAAATTAGTATTTGGAAACAAATATTTGATATTTTTGTCGGAAATTATTCTGTCGACCTAATACTACCGTGTTATTTTACCGTTTAAAGATGTTATGATATTTAACGATTTTTAAAAACTGTAATGTATATATTATATGTATTGTATGTACTCCCAATTCTTTATTATTTAAAAATAGTAGTTTTGTCAGAATTTTTGTTAGAATTTAAAAACATCTTAAAAAGAATTTAAAAATAATTACAACTTTATTTTATAAACTTTTAAATATTCTTTTCTCAGAATTAAATAAATTTGAGGCATAAAATTAAAAAGTTAATTGATTATATAAATTTGATTTTACAGCAATATCATAATTTCGTATTATATTCGAAAATAAAGAATTTCACGTATTGGACGAATAGAGAAGATCCGTAAGACGCTTTCCTTCAAAAGCGGACTTCTTTAGAAAGAAGGACGTATAAGCTTCTCTACTTCTTTATCAACTATAAAAATACAATGCTTCCATAATTCACCAGAATAATAAATATAATAACGAACAAATTCAGGAAAGAGATGGGCATTTTGCGAATTGTGTGTATAAATAAAATATAAAAATATGCGAAAGCAGGATACATACGCAGCAAATATCGCAACAATTTCGTTTCCTATTTTATGCTTATACCAATTTTCACGTATTATGGAAAACTATTCTTCGATATAATTCTTCCTCGTAGAAAGTCCGTTATAGTACTTTTGTTTCTCACTATCGTACGTTTAAACCGTAGGTCACTGTCCGTTTATTGGCTAATGGCCAGGAGTAGTAAGACAGCCAATGGGAAATTTACATTTAAGATAGAAGTTGGATTAAATTAACTCCGTACTATTCTTTCCCCGGCAAAATCCATTTAAAAGTCAATTAAAATGCAAACTTTCGAGAAATACTCGTTATCATTTATAATATCAATTACGTATCCTTGAAATATCTTTGAATTCGCCTCGAACGTCGCGATTGCAACTCAGTCTTGTTAGTTTGGGACAACCTGTAGATCGGGCAATCTCTCGAGAACTTATTACGTTTAAAGTATCTGATACCGTCAGATTTTCTTCATTTATCTTGTTCTTCTTTTCGTTTCTTTTTTTTTAAATTTATTAATGAAAAGAGACATTGCCATTATGAAGAACACTCGGAAAATGATATCTTTATTATCTTTGCAGAGAACTGTATGTCTGTGCATAGTGTGTGTATATATGTGTATATATGTAAAGCGTCGAGGAACTCTGAATATTATCCGATATTTAAATTAACGGCGTCAGTATAAGAATCCAATATGAATATTTTGCCTCCTTGACATTAATTTTTTCCCCTAATGACGTTCTCCAGTGACGTTCTTGCAGCGTTAGTGATGTACTGATTGGTTAATCAAATTCAACTCGTAAGAATAGCTAATTAACATCAAGATAATAACGTCCATGTTTCAAATATAAAACAGGAACTATCATAGGATTCTGTAATGTTTCATTATCATCGTAAGAGATTGGATTGCTATAAGAAAAATTTACTGTAAGAAATTTTTATGGGGACGGATCTTCATACAATGAAATTAACGGAAGAAGATATTAGAGTTACCGATGTCATGCTTAATTAATTCCTTTGCTATGTAACGTGATTTAGAAACGTAGCGAGGAGAAAATATGCCAACGTAAATGAATCCAAAGGCGACCGATCTTCTATCTCAATGTAGTTCGTTAATGAAAGAGTTTAAGAAGCAAATATCTGAGATTATGTATTCATATGACGTTACAATTAAGAGAAGATGTCATCGCGTTCTAAAACTTCTTACTTACTCTCATACTTGAATTTTTTAACGCTTGAAATTTTTCAGAATTCTTAATATTCCAAGGTTCTGCGATATTTTCAATTATGGCCGGCTACTCGAGGTGTAAGGTAAGATGTAATCTTGCGACTATGCCAAATATATTAAGAGGTTAAATTATTTCTGATCCTTAGCTATAGATAGCTTTTAGTAACGAATTAATAATTAGTACGAATGTTAAACCTGGCAACATTGAAAGATTTGACATTTCTCTATGACATATGACAGTTTGCGTGCTACTGTTACTAATAGTTTCATTGTTTATATGTATCTAATATGGATCGTACAAAATTGCATTTTTTACATTCATTATTTTTTTGTTCAATTTGAAAAAATCAGCAATTGAAGCTCATGAAATGCTTATTACAATTTATGATGATCAATGGTTCCATCGTATTGTTATTCCAACTGTAAATTTTAGCTCCAACGATTCAAAAGTGATGATTTCAATTTGAGTGACAAAGAACTTACTGGACAATCAAAAAGATTCTGAATTGCGAGCATTATTGAATGAAAACACCGCTCAAACGGAAAAACAACTGGCTGAACAACTCAACGTCGATAAATCAATAATTTCTAAACGACTACACGCCATGGGAAAAGTTCTAAAGAAAGGCAAATGGTTTGCTAATTTTTTACATGAATTGAGTGAAAGTGCCATTGCAAATCATTTGAATACCGCCATATTTTTGCTTGCCAGACAAAAAAAGAGTTTTTTGTGGCGAATTGTAACAGGAGATGAAAAGTGGATTTATTTTAATAATCCAAAGCGAAAAAAATCATGAATTGATTCAGGACAACCATCAACATCGGCACCAAAACGGAACATTTACGGTCACAAAACAATGCTCTGTATTTGGTAGCATACGGAAGGTGTGATGCATTATAAGCTTCTAAAACTGAATGAAATAGTTACGGGAAAGCGAAACCAGCAATAATTGAACAAATTGAATGATAAATTGATGCAAGAAAGGCCAACGATAGCCAATAATAGATGCAAAGTGAATCTTTTGCACAATAATGCTCGTCCACATGTTGCTTCAATCGTTAAACAAACATTTCTTTAAACTCGAATGGGAAATCGTTCCGCACCCAGTGTACTCTCCAGACCTAGCACCATCTGATTACTATTTATTCCGATCGATCCAACACGCTTTGCCAGATACACACTTCAATACTTACGAGACAACAATTAATTATGTGCAAAAATGGATGTCTGATTGAATTGCTTCGAAAGACAGATCGTTCTATCGTCACGAAATCGCTATGTTGCCGCCGAAAAGATGGGAAAAAATTATAGCTAACGACAGAAAATATTTTGATTGATGTAAATTTAACCATTTCTTTAAAATAGATAAGATAAAATAGATAAGATAAGAAAATTGACAAAATAAGACCAGCAATAATTCAACCTCCTGATACAATTTCTCAAATTCTGCACAGGTCGTCTTTAACTCACACGTGATGATACAAACGTTCCTAATGCAAGTGGTACATTACGCAGCGTTCTCTCGGATCTCCATCTGTGTTCAATCTTTCTGCATGAAAAGCACAAAGATTGATGGGTTTGTTATTGAGTGACGCTTTAATAACGAGATTTCGACAGTACTGAGTCTAGGTAATTATTATTGCAGGGATTCCATATTCAAAATTATTCCATTAAATTTATTTATGTGAAAAGGTTAAATATCCACAATTTTCCATTATGTTTCTGTGCACAAATAGCAATGATAATATAACGTTCGAGGGATGATCCAAAACCTGAAACTATTTATCGCGCAATAACACGGAGCACGCGATAATCGAATAAACCGTGAAACATATGATGCTAATAGCATCGTCCGGGTCGATATAAAGGTCGCGTTCATATTATCATTCTCGAATTATCGAGAGCCGAATGCGCGTTTGACAACGAGAGAATTCGTACTCACTTGAAGAAGTAGGTGTCGTTGACGTATCCGAAGAAGGGCACCGTATAGGTCAGCATCCAAATATTGCCGCCCCCACAGTCGTAATACGGTTTCGACCACCTGCCATCCTCGTATTTCACTGTCAGGATTTCGTCCTCCTCCCTTTCCGTGTGCACGCTTTCGTTCAAAGTATAGGTGTGGAATCCTGGAACAGCGATGGAGAGCGAGACCGTTAGCAGGTACGAGAGTCTATTCCAGCCCGAAATTTAATTAAAGGATCTTTGCTCTAATGACAGTTTAATTAGTGTGTTTAATTAATTTTTAATTTGACTCCCTATAACCCCGATGCTCCGTTACGGTAACACTCGATAAGACCCATTCACTGCTGATCGTGGAATCACATGGTGTTTTGATCAAATACATCTTGCATCGTTCGCAGGTGACTTACAAAGAGACTTACGAAAGTGTCACTCACTGGTTTTAATGAAACTTTGCACACTTATAGAGCATCGAAAAATAATCGACACGTATCTTTTTTATTCCTGCAATACGGGTTTAAACTACTCTTTGAATGTTAAAGGTGGTCTCCAAACATAGACAGAAAACAATTATATAATTTAGAAGAAAAAATGCTTTCAGGGGGTTTTTGATGCAGCTGATTCCGAATCTGACGTTAAAATTATAAAATTCAAGATGGTGGATCCAATATGATGATTAAAATTATAAAAATTCTTCCGATTCGAAATATGCTTGCAATTAGCCTATAAAAATTATAGTTTCCAAGATTTACCACGAGGAGGTTGCAGAGCGATTTTAAACCTCTTTCTGTATTTATTTTAACGGAATGCTTGATTAAAGTAAGTCCCTTCGCCTCTCATTTTTCTCTCATCGGGGTACTTGTTTGTAGTGAGTTTCCTTGTCTCTCATTATCTCGAAAATTTATGTATCCTCAATTTTTAAAATTATTAATTTATTGAGAAGAATTTACAAAAATGATATTCCATAAAAAAGTGTGTTATGCATAAAATTTCTTGCTATAATTTTTATAGGCTAACTGCAGACATATTTCGAACCAGGATTTTTTTAATTTTAATCGTCATATTGGATCCGCCATTTCGAATTTAGTAATTTTGATGTCAGATTCGGAATCAGTTGCATCAAAAACCCCCTGAAAGCATTTTTTCTTCTAAATTATATTAATTATTTCCTGTCTATGCTTGGAGGCCACCCCTAATGTTCAAGGGATAACTTTTACTCTTAACCCTTTGAAGCATAGTGGTAAATATACTTACCATCTATTTATTCTTATATTTTCATGAAATATTTTATATTTGATTCTTGTCGGGTATTTTGGGTTTTTTATGTTCTTATATGATATGGGAACATACATGAATGATTATAAAGTATGTTGCATAAGTTGTCCATTTATTATAAATAAACAAAGTGCGAAAAATACATTTTTACAGAAAAAAATAATTTTCCACGAACTTTGAGTGAATTTTTTGCTCAAAATCGAAGTTTGGGTGTTTTTTGGGTCGCTGGTTACGAATCTGAGGTCCACATCCTAAAATTTATTTTCCAAGATGGCGGATTCCAGATGGCGGATCATAGGATGTACATAAAATTAGCTAAAATTGCACTCTGGTTAGTTTTTAAACTCGCTGATCACAAATCTGATCCAAATTTTAAATTCTAAAATCCCAAATTTTTAAATTTGTTCTCCAAAATGGCGGATAATAAAATTTTTATATGATTAATTAAATCAGTGACTTCAAAAACATTACAATACCCATTGTCACCGAAATTATCGCGATTTTTCATTTTTGCATCCGCCATCTTGAATTCGCCATCTTGAATCTCGAAAATCTGATAACGGATTCGTCATCTGCGACCCCAGAAATCTCCGTATATAAATTTTCATGTGATTCGGATTTTCTGAAAAATAGAAAAATAGCTTGAAAGGGTTAAACCATTGCAGAAATAAAAAAATACGTGTCGATTATTTTTCGATGTTCTACAAAGTGTGCAAAACGTCATTAAAATCAGTGAGTGATACTTCCGTAAGTTTCCTTGTTGGTGATAATCCATTTCAATCGTTTAATTAATTTAATTACCTAAATACGTACAGAAATCCACATTTGGATTGAGTTTTGATCGCTCGTATTCCTGTCGTGAGAAACATAATTAACAAAGCTCGTAAATTACCATACAACCGGACGTTCCACTCAGGCTGCTACTGACTATCAAACATCAAGAATAACAATGCCGTGTAGGCTGAACTCTCGCAAATGGCGCATGAATAGGGAGAACAACAATAACAGAGGTTTGTTACTCTCCCTTTTATTTCCGCATAGCTAAACAGTCGGTCATTGTGCCCTGTCGTTGACTAGAAAGCAAATGCAGTAAAGTAACCAACGGAATTTGCATTGAAAATAAAGGCTTAACGAAAAGGAGAGAGCAACTTTGCAGTTTGGACAGTAAGCAAAGTTTTCGAGAGATTTTCCTGCGTTATATCTCTCTGCTGAATTGTCCCAGCTTGTTGTGACAGTCCGACGCGATCGTAAAAGCGTCGCTTCCGGCGGGGAAGCTGACGCGATTCTGTTAATGCGCAATTTTATTAACATAGAAACCGATGAAATCGATTATTACAATTAATCGTAATACCCCCGCGCGATTGCTTGTATCTGGAATGAAACTTCTCCCTATGCTACGTGATTCTCGGACCGAGAATTTCCGAGCTATCTCCGTACTCGGTGTACAAATCAACCCCGTCGAAACCATTTGTTCTCAGCTTTTTATTTTCACGATTTCTCCCGCCGAGGCCACGCTCTTCTCCCAGGATTAATCTCCGAGGATGTAGAAATTCAAGCGTCAAAAGATGCCTGCAGACTCCGGAAATTCTCTGTATAAGTCGTTCCGGAGACGATTCAAGGATCCAACAATGGAAGTCGAAAGTTTCAGACACATAACTTTATCCGGTCACAGTACGCGCGCGTGCACACGTGATGGAAAAAGACAGCAAGAAACAAAACGAAAGAGAAAGAAAGAGAGAGGGGGGAGGAGGAAAGGAGAAAAGAGAAGAAATATATTAGGGATTTGTACAAATATACAAGGAGGTGAAAGGTGCCGCATGGGATCGTCTCCGCGTATCGGGCAGATAAAAAGAACAAGTCTCGTCGTATCCCTCGCGGACTTCCCCGTCCGCGCGCGTCCTTCTTCTCCCCGGCTGGTCGGCCGTCTCATCCCCATGAGGAAACTGTTGATCTTCATTGGGCATGATTCGTTGAATGTGAGAAACGTTATTTGGCCAATATTTCTCGTATCGAGCGGATAATCAATGTCGTTTGCAACGCGCTACGCACGCTCGAGTGGTACTTTTAACCCTGCTTGGCCCCGCGGTCGTAAATAACTTCTCCTTTCGAGATAGCAACACCTCGCATTTAAATTCCCAAATGTGCTATGAAGCATTCCAGATTACATCGAGAGCAATGGAAGCTGCTATGACGGCCACATGAGCGGTAATAAAATTATACAGTCCTGTAAATATTATATTCGTCCGGACAAATCACGTATGTTTCAACCCTCCGGCGGGAAGAGCGGCAGTCACAAAAGTTGATTATTCCAAATTTCGACGTTCCTATAAGTTATAATTGAAGATGAATTATAAATCGAGATATGCGCAGCCGGAGTTACTAATTATAGCGATTGATCTCACCCAATCTCTTTATTTCCGCCGTTGACAAAATTATATTAATTTCCTCGCGTCGAAAATAGCGCTTTTACGGTCATGTCGCTTCGCCATGGTTGAATAAAATTTAACTAAGCACAAGAGAAAAAATATTTAGAAATGTAAAGAGGAAGAGAGAGAGAGAGAGAGAGAGAGAGAGAGAGAGAGAGAGAGAGAGAGAGAGAGAGCAAAACAGAATATTTTTGCCGCACTGTTTCCTCTGCGTATTCTTGTTTTACCTAACTCATCCAATTATTCATTTAAAAAAAGAACACCAACATGTTACGAACAACAACATGCATGTTACAAATAATCAAGATAAGATAAAAATAATAAGCACGTGTCACAGCTAAAATAATGTGTAAAGATGAAACACGAGATAACAAACTGAAAATGTAAACTGCAAAATGTCATACAAGTATGATGCATTTATTTCGTCGAGTTGCACTCGTCCAGTGAGCAAGTAATTGGACGGCACAAATAAAGTAACGTTTTATGAAGAGAGGGAGAGGGAGAGGGAGAGGGAGAAGGAGAGAGAGAGAGAGAGAGAGAGAGAGAGAGAGAGAGAGAGAGAGAGAAAACGAGAGGAAGTTGAGCAGCCTTAATTAAGGCAGTTTTACCGAAAAACGTGCTTACTCTGAGCATCGGTGAGAAATCGGGAAAACTTCTGATACGGCGCCAAGTCGTAACGCGTGCTGCCTTTTTTGTTCTCCCCTTATTCCTCATTTCTTACCCTCGTTCCCTTTCCGCCGCGCGTCCGAAATCCCATTCTGATTTATCCACCAGTAATTTCTCTTTTAACATAGATCCTCCCGAAACCTGTTTGGGAAATCTACATGTTTATTAACCGCCGTCTCTCCTCGGCGTTTTAGCAGTCGAGGATTTTTTTTTTCGTATATTGCTCCGAATCTCCGGATTTTTAATCTATAAACTGTCTCCCAGCGAGGAAGAATTTAACATTTCATTTAAGATGTACTCATCTTGAGATCGTGAAAAAACGTGAACTCGTACCTCTCTCGATCGCGCTAAGGAATATACCCTGTAGACGAGTTCCCCTTCGTTTGACTTTGCTATATAACAAGACGCATTAACGACGTACGCCAATTTCGTAAATTAGGCTGTACTCTAATGAAATTCGCGCCAACATATAACCTCGAAAAAACCAGATTAACATATTTCCGTGAAAACATTTCCCAAGCCTCGCTTTTACTTCGCGATCACTGAAGGGGTTCAAAGAAGATCGAACGAAATCGTAGAGCAGGAGAGCGAAGACACCAAAGGATTTACTGACGTAGAAAAATATTCAATTTGATTTCAGGTCAGCTCCGGCGCCATTAAAATTCACGGAGACGGTAAAGGATGGGAAAATGCAGAGGGGAAAAAGCCCATCCCAAAAGAGCATCTAGCGGAATTAAATAAATAAAATTCTCTTACGACGTACGTTACGCTAGATCGAATCACTTACTTTATTTCCCTCG